GCCAAATAGTTCAGGGTTCTGATGGTATTTGGTAGACACATCATAAGTAGGGCTTACTATGAGCAAGTTATCCCCATACTGGAGTATGAGTCCTTCAGCCTATATTAAGTTTCTAAGATCCATTGTCAGCATTTCCCCAAACAAGGTAGGAGAATTCTTAGATCCTTGAGGCAGGACTGTCCACCAGTACTGTTAGATTACTTGTGTTTCTGGATCCTGCCATTCAAAAGCAAAATGTTGCTGTGATTCTTCTGCAATAGGAATGCAGAAAAAGGCATTTTTCAAGTCCAAAACAGAACCAGCTGTATTCTCCCAAAATAGTTGTAAGCAGAGTACATGGATTAGGTAGCACTGGGTGCCAATCTTGGACTATTTCATTAATAGTTCTCAAGTCTTGGACAAAGTGATACTCTGTTAAGTTCGGCTTTTTGACCAGGATGATAGGGGTGTTATATGGGGACCTGAAAGGTTTAATCAGTCCTATTTTCAAAAACACCCCTATGTGCTTAGTAACTCAGTCGTGTCTGACTCTCTGCTGAGGGAGGAAAGGAACAGGCCGAGCTGACTCCATCCTGAAAAAGAAGGAAACTCCATCTTGCACTTTCAGTGAGCTTTGGACCATGTGCTTGGTAGCCATGGGGATAACATACCTATGGACGAACTGGTCTCCCGGACTGATAAACACCAGATTCCACACCAAGATTTCCCGTCGCCAAAAAGAATGTAATGATCCCCTATGTAGTCAGTCACCTTTGTAATCTTGACAGCACCCATTGGTGTAGGCCACAGTGTATACCCAGCTGACCCTTCTGATTATGAATCATGTCTGTAACCTGATTGCATCTCCCTTTAACACTTTCCAGGCTGGGTTTAAGGAATTTGGGGATGTGGGCTTGAGCAGTACATTTAAGGTATATAAGGTTTTCACCAAAGTTGCGTCAGGGTCCTTGGCTAATAGGAGACTCTGCCTTGGGCCCTCTGGTGTAATAAACTGCACTCCACTATCTGCACTCTCCTTCTGAGTGAGTTTATTTCCCCGAATGCATGGCTATAACATTGTGACCCCATGGACTGTAGCCCACCAGGCCCTTCTGTCCAGGGGGATTCTCCAGGCAAGAATCCTGGAGTGGGTTGTCATGCCCTCCTTCAGGGGATCTTCCCAACCAGGGATCAAACCCAGGTCACCCGCATTGCAGGCAGATTCTTTACCATCTGAGCTACCAGGAAAGCCCACAAGGGGACATGCAAGGTTTAATCAGTCCTATTTTCAGAAACTCCTTCAGAATTGGCTGTATTCCCTTTCGGCCCTCTTGTCTCATGATGTATTGCTTTAAAGTAGGTGTCCCAGCATTTTTTTTTAATGGAATTTGTATTGGCCGTGCATTCTTGGCCTTCCCAGAGGTGCCATTAACCCACACTTCTGGCCTTGCCTTTTCATAGATCTCAGTGGGAAAAGGCTCTGTCTCCTCTTCAGGGGCATCCATGAGTGACATCTATAGGCTTACAGCATACTCTGGAGGGATTCTGTTGTCAAACTGCCCTAGAGAAAAAGTTATTTGAGAATTTAACTTACAAAGAAGATCTCTACCCTAAAGAGGGACTGGACATGCTAGGATAGGTAAAAAAAATAATTGTGTTTCAGGGTATAGTCCCCTAATTGGCATTCTAGAGGTTATAAGAAGGAACGATTTTGTACTTCCCTAGAGGTTGCAAGAAGGACCAATTTTGTACACACTGGAATATATATTTTAAAAACCTGTGTTTCGGGGTGAAGTCCCCTAATTCGCACTCTAGAGGTTGTAAGGAGGACTGACTTTGTCCTTCCCCAGACACTCCCATGCCTGGGATGGATGGAGATGTTTTCTGTGCCACCTTATTTCATCACGGAGTAGGTTGCACCTATATCTATTAGAAACTCAGTTAACTCGTTCCCCACCGTCACAGTTACCCAGGGCTCCTGTGGGGAAACTTGAATCAAACATCTCAAGTCCAGGGAGCTCCCAGGTCCCTCCATTCATCATCAGAGTGTCTTTCTCTTTCTACCATGTGAGACGCTCCCACCTTTCTTTTATTGTTATCTTTTTTATTCCTTAACTAAGGGCAATTTTTCTCCCAGTGGCCTTCCTCCTTACAGGAAGCACATTGTTCCTTCCCCAGTGGTGGCTTACCTCTCTTCCAGTTACTTGCCTTCTGCCAATCACGTAGGGCTCCACCTTGCATCCTCTTGGCTTCTGTTGTTGCTCCCTGTTACTGAACACCTTAAAAGCAACACTCACTAACAGAGAAGGTTTCATTACCAGTGCCCCATCTAACTTTGCAATTTTTTTCTTATATCTGGGGTGCTTTGCCCAGTGAAAGTCATATTCACCATTCTCATATTTTCAGGAGCCTTAGGGTCAGCATAAGTGTACCACCTATAAGCTTGATAAATTCTTCCTAGAAGTTTTTATGGGTCTTCATTGGGTTTTTGGTGTATCCCCTGAATTTTGTTTAAGCTCTTTTGCCTACGTACTGTCTTTCAAAGGCCTGCTAAGATACACTTCCTGTAAGGCTTGAGGAGTGGCATACTTGCATTGTTGGGATCCCAGGCAGGTTCAGCAATAGGAACTGCCAGGTTTGCTTCTGGAGTTCATCTGGATCAGCTAGATAAAGCTGGTGTGGTTCCTCTCTAGCCCTGTCAATGACTGTCCTTCTTTCATCCCCTGTGAGCATCAAATTCATAAGACATTGAATATCTATCCAAGAGGGATGGTGAAGGGCAAAGATGGAAGTGAAAAGTTCCATCATGCGGAGGGGGTCCTGTCAATAATGTAGGGTTATTGTTTTTTCCAATTAAACAAATCTGAAGTTGAGACTGGCTTGTGTATTCATAGAAACCCCACTGGTTGACCATCTGCATTAAGGCCTCCTAAGTGATATCATAAAAGAATTGATGCTTTTGAGCTGCGGTGTTGGAAAAGACTCTTGAGAGTCCCTTGGACTGCAAGGAGATCAAACCAGTCAATCCTAAAGGAAATCAGTCCTGAATATTCATTGGAAGGACTGATGCTGAAGCTGAAACTCCAATACTTTGGCCAGCTGATGTGAAGAACTGACTCATTAGGAAAGACCCTGATGCTGGGAGAGATTGAAGGCAGGAGGAAAAGGGGATGACACAGGATGAGATGGTTGGATGACATACCGACTCAATGGACATGAGTTTGAGCAAGCTCTGGGAGTTGGTGATGGACAGGGAAGCCTGGCGTGCTGCAGTCCATGGGGTCGAAAGAGTCGGACATGACTGAACAACTGAACTGAACTGAAGTGATATCAGCACAAGGGAAGTTGCCCTGCTCCAGAGTGGCTCCCAGTCCAAATTGGGTTCCCTATTGCATCTTGGATGGTGATGCCAAGCAAGGCTCCTGTGCCCTGGGTGTTAACATAGAAACCTCTAATTCATCTCCAACAGGAGGGGAAACAGGAGATGACGGATATGCCCGTGGCATGGGGGCAGCTGGAGCAACTGCCAGTGCAGTTTGCTTGGCCAGTGGAAGAGCCAGGCTGGTCGGAGGGATGGTTAAGTTCTGAAACGGCGAATCCTCACTCTCATGCTCTCCCTCTCCCTCTTGTAGAATAGGTTTCTCCTTGACTTTCCTTTAATATTGCTGCACCATAAGGTGGCAGCCATCTGACTTCTTTTCTTCCTGACATAATAGCCTAAATGCCTCTACATACGGAATCTCATCACTTTTACCTGCCCTTTCACAAAAATATTTTCATTGTGAGATTGTATAACAATTAAGTGAGCCATTTAAGGGCCATCGCTCCCCTGATTCTAGCTTATATTGGGACCACACACCACTACAATAGACTATCATCTCTTAGTCACAGGCCCACAACTGTATCTTGCCCATTTATTTAAGGAATGACCCAAAGGGCTTTCCTTAGGGACAGATGGAGTATTTCCTCTCTTGATAAGTTCAAGAATCACAAAACAAAGACACAAACAGATATCAATACCAAGGAACAAACAGATTCCATTATGAATGGACACAAAAACAAAAGCAAACGAACCAGTTCACAAGTCAGGTAAAATCCAATGACAATTCTGCCCTCCAGATGGGTACCCTGAAGTAACAGACAAACGAATTAAGAAGGGAATATGTTCCCAGCTGCACACACGGGAGCGACTTTCCCTAGTATGTGGAGCCCGCCAGCTCCCAAATGTCAACTCCTTGCTCCAACTGCCAAGCGCTGGGGCAGCCAGTGCCACTACCGAAAATTGTGAAGGGAAGATCCTCGGGAGAAATGGCCCTGGCAGCTGCGGGCCTGAGCTGAAAATCCCCCAACTGGGGCGGGCTCACCACAGTAGCAAGGCTCCTGGCTGGCTTTGCCAAAATTTGCTACTGAGCCCAAGCTCCTTCTGCTCACTCCATGGCAGGCCAATAAATTGCAAGACGAGTTGTTGGAGCAAAGAATGATCACTTTAATCGGAAGGCCAGCAGACGGCGGAGACGGCGGACTAGCCTCTCTAAGAAGCATCCCATCTCCCTCAGGAATCAGCGTCCTTTTATATACAATAGAGAGGGTGAGAAGGGCTTTGTGTGACCGGGACCAATGGCAGAGCAGTGCTGTTAACTGGTTGGGGCTGACAGTTCCGACTCGGTGGGGAGGAGGGGTCCACGGGGCTGACAAACGGCTAGCAGGACTGTTCCCGCGGAACTGGTGCCTGTCTCGGTGGAGCCTGCAGGCTGGGCCAGGGAGGGAAAGGCCCCTTATGCCTTGCGTCCTATCTCTGACCACTGCCACAGTTGGACTTTCCTTGTAGAATAGACAGGCTTTTTCTAAACTTTGTGTGATCAAGTTTACCAGTCATTTCCTTTATGGCTTCTGGGTCTCGTTGTATGCTTTAGGAAAAACTTCCTCTCCGAAATTGTAAAATAAAAATAATTCGTCCATGTTTCTAAGAGTACTTTCATGATTTCGGGTTTACAGTGCATGCTCTCCCCCCAAATCTGCCGCTACTGCAGGTCTAGGAAGATGCGCGGGGCGCCCCACCTCCCGTCCGGAGCCCCGAGCCGCGCAGTCGCGTAGGGAGACTGTCCCTTTCCCAGCAGCGGTCTCTGAAAGTGAACAGTGGTTCTGCGACCTTTCCCAAAAGATTTTTTCCTAGGGCCCGTTCTGCTGCTGGGGTCACGCCGCGCAGGCTTTGAGCTCCCAGGCTGACGCCCTTGCTGCCGCTTGTCTTGGAGAGACACGCTCAGAGGTGAGCCTGAACCAGGACCCGGCATCCAGGCGGCGGGCGGTGTTCCCTCCCCGGCCTGCGATCCGGATCCCTCCCGCTAACGTTCGCGCCGGTTGTCTGGCGCCACCTGGCGGCCTCTATCGTATAGTTTTCAGCTCCAGCGAAACCGGTACGGATCTGGGGGGGCGGTGCCTTAGGCGAGGGTCTCTGAGGCTGGAGGCCTCAGAGGGATCATCCAGGCTGTGCCGCGCCGGGGAGTGAACGGCTCAGTCACTTTCAAAAACTGGAGGTGCAAGTACTTGGAGGCCATCTCCACACTCCCGTGCCCCGTTCGGGACCCTCCAGGTGGGCCAACCGTCACACGCCAGGGCCCACTAAGCCTGTTGGTCTGACCCGGGCCCGCAGGGGTTCAGGACTGGGATACAGTACTGCGCAGCTGACGGTGTCATGGACGGTGCCTATCCGGGAGATGGAGGGGCAGGTGATGTTTTGAAGGAGCCGCGGTCTGCTGCAAGAGGTGAGACTGGTGGCTGGCTGGGGTGAGTGGGGAGGGCAGTAAAAGGAAAGCACCCAGTATCCTGGATGCGCCTGACACCACTTAGCTTGTGAGAGCAGAGGAGACCCGGCTCGTTCAGGTTGGATGGCTGTTGTCATTGGGAACCTCGGCCGGGTGCCCCAAGAGTGTTCTCCTTAACATTGCCGGCCCCTGGAACCTCAGTGAAGCCAATGCCCCATCTGTTGCTGCTGCTGCTGCTAAGTCGCTTCAGTCGTGTCCAACTCTGTGCGACCCCATAGACGGCAGCCCACCAGGCTCCCCCGTCCCTGGGATTCTCCAGGCAAGACACTGGAGTAAGTTGCCATTTCCTTCTCCAATGCATGAAAGTGAAAAGTGAAAGTGAAGTAGCTCAGTCGTGTCCGACTCTTATCGACCCTATCCACTGCAGCCTACCAGGCTCCGCCGTCCATGGGATTTTCCAGGCAGGAGTACTGCAGTGGGGTGCCACTGCCTTCTCCGAATGCCCCATCTACCGGGCCCCAACTTAACCCTCCCACCCAGAGTCGCCTGTGCAACCGGGGGCCTCTAGCTCAGTCCCACTGACGCCCTCCATACTCACTCCCACGCTGCCCACCCACCCAGACCAGGACTCTGCCCTTGAGGAAAAGAGAACTTGTCCTGGTGGAGAGGCTCGCTGTCAGGGCACCCGCACACGGGCCGGGCCAGGAAGAGGGAGCCGCTGCCCAGAGCTGGCTTTCAGGTTAGGGGAGGAACTGGCAGCAAGGGTCACCAGGGAGGGTTTTCTGCTTCCCTCACTGCCAGCCCTGGCTAAGGACCTTTTGGCCCCTAGGGTGGGGGTGTGGGGTGGGGGTCTTTGTTTTTCTCCTTCTAGCTGGGCTCCCTGTTTCTTAAAAGCAGTGGCCAAGAATGGTCCAAGGAACCTGTCAATCTTTCTCTGACCTTCACCTTTCCTTGACCTAGACGTTCTCGGACCTATAGCCTATATCTGTCTTCTCATATCCCTAACACTGTTTGAGCCATACTTAGGTTTTTACCTTGACCTTAACCTCACCTTGACCTCGACCCCTTTCAGGCCCATATTCTGTTCCTATCATTGCTGTATCACTGAATGATTATTTTAATTTGACCTTAACCTTGACCTGTATATTGACTCTGATACAAACCAAATCCTCTCCTTCACCATCTTCAGTGTTCCTTTCTACCCGACTGAAAACTTAAACTTGAATTTGACCCTGAATATGAACTTGACCTGGCATTGTTCTTGACCTTTAGCTGTTCCAGTTTTGTAATCTGTTCTTGACTACTATCTTAGCATTCTCTATGACTAATAATTTAACTTCGACCCCAATGTTAATATTGACCCTGACCTTTAACTTTACCTTGACCCTTATTTTAACAAACTGTATCTCCTGTGCACTATCTTGATCGTTTCTATCATTAATTTGTTAATATGAGCTTGATTTTGGCTTTTTTTTTTTTTTCTGGCTGTGCCATGTAGTACGTGGGATCTTAGTTTCCTGACCAGGACTTGAACCCTCAGCAGTGAAAGCTCAGAGTCCTAAGCACTAGACCATTGCGACCTCCCTGATTTGGGCTTTTATGATATTGAACTTGATCATGACCTAATTATGACCTTCACCCTTTTCAGAACCACAGTCTCAGTAAAAATATTATCCTCACCATTTCTAATAATGAGTGAGAATTTGACCTTGATCTTGTTGACTTGACTTTGAAATTGATGTAATCTTGAAATTGACATAGATATTGGTCAAACACATGTCTCTGTCTTCCTCAATTTCTCTCTGACCAATAATTTGACCTTGATCTGACTCTGTGAACTGACTTTCCCCACACTCCTCTTCTCACGTATGTCCTGTCCCTTACAAGCATCTTGGTCTTCTCTATTACTTCTCTATTACTGACTGAAAATTTGTCCTTGGCTTAAACCTCAACCTTCCCTTGCCCTTTCCCCTAAACTTGATCTAGATTTGATCTTGCCTCTTCTCAGACCCATACTCTGTATCTTGACAATTTTTATTATTGACTGATTATGTGACCCTGCCCTAGGCTTTTATATTTATTCTGTTTCAGACCAAATCCTGCCATTGATCTTAAGCAGTGTTTATTTCTATCACTGACTAATAATTTGACCCTGACCTTGACTTTTGAAGACTCATATACTGTCCTTGATTACTATCCTCCTAATTTCTATTGCTGCCTGAAATTTTTACTTCAGTCTAGTCTGGCCTTGAACTTGACCCCAGGTTGACCTCAGTGCTTTTCAGACACTTGTCCTCCATTGGGTGAATAACCTATACTATCACCCCTGCCACTCGCAGGTGCCATAGATCAAAAGTAGCACTGAGATTAAGACACATGGACAGACAAGAGTCAGCACATGTGCAGTTCAAGCAGGAATGTCTTGGGTGGTGGACCGTCTGAATAGCCAAAGATCAGCATGTCACCATCATTCTGGTGGCCCAATCTGCCTGCCAGGTCAGAAAACACACCCCCCAGCCCCAACAGTGTGTGATATCTACACCACAGGTTGACTTGCTGGAACTTCAACCTGGCCAAGGGAACCTGCAACAGCCCTGCTAGATGATCCTGTGGGCCATCTGGTCTACTCCTTACATGGAGTGGCAGGAAGGCCTGGATCCCCACATGTCCTCCTCCAGGCCGAGGCAGGGAGGGTACATTCCAGGCCTCCAGAGGAGGACTAGGAAACATTTTCAGGAAGCTCATCAGATGACCCAATCCCATACATCCTACTTGCGGTTGACTGGGACAGTCCAAACCAGTGGAAGGTCCCTCATATGTCAATCAAAGCACCTGCCCTATCCCAGCTGCTACCTGAACAGTGAACAGTGGCCTCCTGATAGCTTACAGTGAACAGTGTCAGATTCGCGATCTCTGAAGGACAGAATTTCACTTTGGGACCAAAGACACAGCTTCAGTCACTCAGAGCTTCATGTTGATGTTTTATTAAAGTGGGAAAGGAGGAGAATGCTTCTGACATGGACTTCAGAAGGAGGTAAAGAGTTCCCCGCTAGCTAGGCTTATGGAGGCCTCATATACTTTTTAAGCTGGTTACTAATGATAGAAAGGGGCTTCCCTGGTGGCTCAGGTGGTAAAGCATCTGAGCATCTGCCTGCATTGCAGGCGACCCAGGTTCGATCCCTGGGTCAGGAAGATCCCCTGGAGAAGGAAGTGGCAACCCACTCCAGTACTCTTGCCTGGAAAATTCCATGGATGGAGGAGCCTGGTGGGCCCCAGTCCATGGGGCCGCAAAGAGTCAGACACGACTGAGCGACTTTACTTTCTTTCTTAATGATAGAAAGGTCTTCCCTGACCCACTCCCACAACATCTTAAGATAACAGGATTAGTCAGAAGGTTCTTAAGAAGGAGAAACATGTCCTCGAGCAACATACATTGTTGTTATATAATCATTAGTACAGAGTTTAAGGAAAAACATACTCTTGAGCAAGATGAGTTGTTTTGTTGTGATCATTAGCTCTGGGCTTAAAGAAAGTTAGTCTTTGAAGAAATAGATTGTTGCCATAACTCAACTTAAGAAAAAAGACTTTTTTCTTTTGTGACTAAGATGAAAAGTGAAAGTGAAAATCACTGACTTTTTAAGACCCCATGAACTATACAGTCCATGGAATTCTCCAGGCCAGAATACTGGAGTGGGTAGCCATTGCCTTCTCCAGGGTATCTTCCCAACCCAGGGATTGAACCCAGGTCTCCCACATTGCAGGCAGATTCTTTACCAGCTGGGCCACCAGGGAAGCCCAAGACTACTGGAGTGGGTAGCCTATCCCTTCTCCAGCAGATCTTCTCGACCCAGGAATTGAACTGGGGTCTCCTGCATTGCAGGCGGATTCTTTACTGTCTGAGCTATGAGGGAAGCCTGACTAAGATGAAGAAATGTAGGAAAGAAAAACAAAATTGTCCCTTTTCTCCAGCTCGAGGGCCCCAGGCCCCTTTCTCCTCCTTATCAACCTACCTAAGAATTAACTCTCTCACTTTCTCCCTATCTGTAAGTAAATCTGTGGCAAATGTTTTCCCTTGCCACACTGAGCATAACAGAACAACCCTGCCATTATTGCCAGCCTCCTGAAACTCTGCCTCAGGACATAATGGCCAGATTCAGTTCTATTCCACGGATAATCAGAGCTCAAGAGGAGCCACACAAAGGCAGGAGCCAGTCAACTCCCAATAACCAGCGAGAGCAGGAATGGGCCTAATCCAGATCCTTGGGTAAAGGCAAGAGCTCTGCTACCTACCTGACTTTGCCCCAGTTCCCCTTGCAATCTTGACCTGGGAAGGTTGAAGTGGCTGGCTTGGAACTGTACCCCTTCTGAAGGGAGAACTAGACATAGCAAGGAGAACTTAGAAAAAAAGTTGAGGAAGCACATCCACTAACTGCATCCCATGAGGAGCCACAGCAGGACCAAGCATTTGGAAAATTCACATTTCCTGATTTCTAAACTTAGTAGAAACTACAGTAATCGAAACAACATGG